CTTCCTGGTGCGGGGTGAGAGATGCAGGCAGGCGGGGGTACAAAGGCACCAGGCGATGCTGTGCATAACCTCCTGGTAAACTTGCTGGGGTTTGTCCTGGGCGTCGTGGTTTCTGTTACGGCCGAGTGGCTTCTGCGATGGATGAAGCCGACTCCAGCGAAAAGATCGCGTCCCTCCCGCGCACAGCGAGCGGTGCAGGCACTGGAAGAGCTAAGGGAAAGAAAGCGCCAGACCGCATCGCTGCAGGAGCAGGAGCTGGAGGGACAACAACAACAGCATCGGCAGCATCAATCAGACGCCGGTGAAGAAGAAGAAGATGGTGCTGGAAGTGAAGATGAGGAAGAGTGGAGTACTGAAGAGGACGAAGAGTGCGATGACTCGGATGAGGACAGCGAGCTGGAGCGCATGGAGGAGCTTCGACTCAAAATGGTATTTGTCATTCGTCGGGACCTAAAGAAGATGCCGGCGCATGACATCGCTGCATTGACTGCCGGCGCTGCAGTTGACGTGGTGCACAAGATACAATACGGCGCCGATAACACGCAGTGGCTGGAGTGGTACTGGTGGTGGAACCGCGTCGGGTGCGCCAAAATTGCGCTCAAGTGCCCCGACGGCGAAACACTTCAGCGCGTTGTTGCAGAATCGGAGGCGGCTGGTCTGCCTTTTTCGGTGGTTGGGGAGAGTGGCGAGCACACTTTGGTAGCGATCGGGCCGGTGCCGTCTGGCGTGCTTGATCCCATCACAGGGAGTCTGAAGTTGCTTTCATGAGGCCGTGTAAAGCGGTGGCCGAGCCGCCATGGAACCGAACGGAATAAAGAGCCTTTTTTTGATGGGGCGCCAGCCCCCATGAAGGTGCACATGCACGCACGAGCGCACACAAACAAGAAGGGTGTGAGAGTGAGAGAGAGAGAGAGACAGACTAGAAATTGTTTTTTAGCTCCTTTGTTTTTTTTCCATGGTTTTTTTTTGTTTTAGTTTCGCTTTGAGGNGCCCCCATGAAGGTGCACATGCACGCACGAGCGCACACAAACAAGAAGGGTGTGAGAGTGAGAGAGAGAGAGAGAGACAGACTAGAAATTGTTTTTTAGCTCCTTTGTTTTTTTTCCATGGTTTTTTTTTGTTTTAGTTTCGCTTTGAGGGGGCGCGGGCACGCAGAAAGAGGTTTGGCGCGAAGGGCACAGAATGGCGCGGGATATTCGGCACGCGCACTACGAGCTGGAGCGCGGCGAACTCAACCTTCACTTCACGGGTGCGGGGTCCGTCGTTCTTGTCGACGGTGCGGCGACGGTGTTTGGCGCACCTCTCAAGAGGAACGTCCGCTACAACTTCTGCAAGTGCGGCTTGCCTGTGGCCTGCCCGTTAGCGTGTCGTGTGCACGTAGAGGGGGACTTCAGAGCAGCCGTTGGTCTTTTGGACTCCGCCGTCGACGATCTGCACGCAGTGCTCGACCTGGCCCGCACTGATGCGGCGATGAGCATCAGCGGTGTGTCGCGTGATTCCAATGAAGATGGGCCGTGTGGGCCTCGTGTACTCGTCGTCGGAGATCAAAACACTGGGAAAAGCAGCCTGTGCCGTGCCTTGGCAAATATGGCGACTGCGGGGCAGCAGTACGGCGTTGCTCTCGTGGATGCTGATGTGGGTCAACAGGGAATAGCCTGCCCTGGCAGCATTGCCACGGCGTTTCTGGAGAATTACATTCCCGTGGATGACGGGCTCAACACCATGATGCCACTGACGTTCTTCTTGGGTGATGAGACGGTTTCGGCGTCTTCGCGAAAGCGATATCTGGATTTGTGCGCCTTTACCTCGCAGGCCATTGCGTCGGTCTGCATGGCGAAGCAAAAGTACGCGCTTGGTGGTGTGATAGTGAATACAATGGGATGGACAACAGGCGTAGAGCGCGATATTCTCTTTGAGCTCCTCTCCGTGTTCTCCATCACACACGTGGTCCTTTGTGGGTCCGACGGCGAGCTTGCCGATGAAGTGCGAAAGGCCGTGATCGGCCATAGCATCACCATCCTCACGTACCCAAAACAGCCACGGATATTTCCGCGCGGGATGTTGCAACACAGGGAGTCACGCACAGAGCAGTTGGTGAGCTATTTCCGAGGAACAATGCGTACCCCATTATCGCCGCACCGTGGCGTGGCTTTTGTGAAGGATGTGCAGTTCGTGCATGCGCTGACACTGAAGGTTCTTTCATGGGAAGAGGTGAAGCCGCTGAGTTTAGCTGCCGTCTCGTGGTCCGACTCCCTGGAAACTGTAGAGGAGGCTAATGTTGCTGGCTTTATCGTTCTGCTCGAGATCGGGAAAAAGTTCTTTTCATTCCTCTCGCCGGCAGCTGGGAGTCTTCCAAAGCCCTTCCTGTTGGTCTCACCCATCGTAAAGCTCCCGAGTTCCAAAGTTCCACCCTTCAGTGCCTCTTGATGGGGGCGTCTGGCAGTGAAGGTAAGCGGCGGCGCTGGTGAATTCAACGGCGCGTGTGGTTGTGTCATTGACTCAATTTAATGGGGTTGATGTTTTTCTTTCTGTGTGTGTGTGTGTGTGCCCTTCGCACATCTCCTGTGCGTGCTTGCTCCATTCCCCTGCCGCCTCGTAATTGGAAGGATGCATTCGCCTTTGTTTTTTCCTGCTTTGTTTTTTTTTTGTTTTTGCTCCTTCCTTCTTGGATCCCACCTGGCAGGCATTTGTAGGACATAAATGTGATGGAGCATTTACCATCCATCAACTCACGTGTGGAGACGCTTCGGCTGGTCTACGGCTCTGTTGTGCGTCTTTGCCTGCACTCGTTCGTGTACGGTGTCACTCGCGGTGTGTTTTCGGAGTATGTGCTCCGCCGAAAAGGCTCCCTCGCGTGGTGGGGACGGCAGTCCGTGCCGTACGTGGCCTCGTTGGGCATGGAGATCGGCGTCTCTGTTCTCATATGCCCGGTGCGTTACTTCGCTGCCGTGTCGGCGCCGCGCTTTATCCTCGACTACACCCTGACGGGGTGGTCGGAGCTGCTGCGTGTATTGGACCGCTTTTCCCCAGGTAACTTCGCAGCGTACGCGCTGTACGCCTTCTCATCCGACGCCGACTGGAACTTGGACTTTTTCATCTGGCAGCTCCCGTCGGTGGTACTGACGGTCACAAAGCTTTGGTACCGTCGGCGCCTACTTGGCAGCGTGAACTGTCGCACAAAGCGTGTGCTCGGTATGATTCCGGTGCAGGTGTTTCTGCGGGCATTCCTCTCTTCGTTCTCTTTGCTTATTCCAGAGAGCGGCGGCGAAGTGCTGGTGTCGGTCGTGCTCTCTGTGTTGGAGAATGCGGCGACCTCCTACCTTGCGATGCACACATGGCCGTTCAGCAACGTGACGGATTCCCCGCAGTCAAGCACCTCAAACCAGTCCGATAGCCGCGAGGCGGGGAGCGACGATGTCCATGCCAAGCCTGAGGAAACATCGTAAAGCAGTTGGGGTTTTCTTTTTATCCGTGCCGGGGGATGGATGGATGGATGGAACAAGCACGGCGCGTAGTGATTTTGTTTGTGGGGGCGTGGGAAAAGATGAGGAAGGGAAGGGTGTTGGTTGGCTGGATGAATGGGAACAAAAAAGGGGGGCAATGGGTGGAGAAAAGGCGAAAGATGAAAGAAACACAAGTGTGAGAGGAAGTGTCGAAGGAGTTTGAGAGGGAGGGGAGGGAGTACCTACTTACTTTTGTTTCTTTTCAGTATCTCTCCTTGGCTCTTCTTAGATTTCTTTTTTTTTTTGTTAGATAAGTCTCCACTTGCGTCTTTTTCCCTTTCTGTCCTCTTCTTCATTATATGTTCCCCATTGCGGTGTTCTTGGTTCCTGTTAACTTTTTCCAACATTATTCCTTGTTCCCTTCCAACGGGTGGTGGGGCGGTTTCGTCTCTTCTGCAGATGAGCCGTTCACTCGCATGGGGGGAGGATGCAACCAACTTACTTGCCCACGCTGCGAAACCATAATTAGTCGTTATGTTCCTCCTGCTTATAAATGGCCCCGTTCAGACGGGGGACTCTTGCGGGCGGCGTCCAATGGGCTCTATGAGGCGGTGGTGCAAGCGGTCCGCGTTGCATGAGACCTCCCTTGTTATTTTTTCCCCCCTTTCCTGATGTAGGCGGTGAGAACAACAAAAGGAAACTCGGAGAGAAATAAGGGGGGAGAGAGAGAGTGAAAGATATAGTTGGGAGAGGTGTGGTGGTGTCGCTCTCGGTGCTGACCTGAATCTGTGTGAAGAAAGGAAGGAATGGCGGGGGCGTGGACGGACAGTCCGGTCACTGTCTGTCTCGATCGGGTCGGTGGGGCCTACGTCGCTGGGGAGACTGTCACTGGCTGTGTGGTGGTGAACTACACAACCGCCTCCGCCTTCGTCAGTATTGAGTTGAGCGTTTTGGGATCATTGGTCCTTCAACACCCAAACACTGATGACGCCGCGCGTTTCGCCGCACTCGGTGACGTGGAGCCGGTGGGACTGATGAACCTGCGCATTCCGCTCCACAGTCGCGGCGCGCTGCTCCCGGCTGGGCGAATTGAGTTTCCATTCACGTTTGAGATTCACACGTCAACGCCGGGTGTGTCGCTCATCGAGACATACAGCGGCGTCTACATCTCTTGCAGCTACACCATCACAGTGACGGCGAGTGGAATCGTAGGGAAAGTGACAAGTGAACCGCTCTCCTTTCCGGTGTCCGTGCCCGGGCAGGGCCAGCCGCCTCCCCACGCGCTGAAGGATGACACTGGCGTACAGTTTGAGTTGAATGAGGACAGTATGGAGGTGCTGCATGCCAGTGGCCGCGCACTTCCCAGTTTCCTGCTCGAAGGCTCCCTGGAGCGGTACTATAATGATATCGATATTCCCCTCTCTGGATGGATTGTGGTGCGACGGTGCAGCGCAAAGATTGTTTCTATCGAACTGCAGCTGCTGCGGGTAGAGCAGGCGGCGGTGCCGGGCGCCAGCGCACGTGGAGCGACGGAGGTGCAGAGCATTCAAGTCGCAGACGGGGATGTGCTGCGCAACCTCGAGATTCCCATTTACATGTTTTTTCCGCGATGGTACACATGCCCTTCCATCAAGACAGCTAACATGCGTGTCGCGTTCGATGTGAATGTTATACTCCTGCTGGAAGGGAATCGGCAGCTCAGTAAAGTCGTGCCGATACATCTATACCGTGCTAGTTTGCTGTCGTGACAAAATAAAAGAAATCTTTTTGTGCGTGTGTGTGCGTGTGCGCGCGCGCTCTAGGAAAGGCCAAGTCTGGCAATATGTGTCCTTTCTCTGTTCCTGATGTCGTTTACCACATTTTATCTAATTTGTTTCTTGTCCTTCTCTTGTTTCTGTTCTGTTGTTGTTGTTTTTGTGTGCTCGCACGACGTCGCCGCTGCGTTCCACCCTTCGGGACGCGAAAAGAGCACACAAAAAGAGATTCTCCAAGGGGGAGTGGGGGCGGCAACCAGTCACATGGCCTGCGTTGTGAGTTCCGCTGACAACGCCAAGGCTGTGCGGTCGCATGCAGGTGAACCTGCGGGATTCAACAGCGCCGAACGCCCACGCCTGACGGTGGCGGAGGCGGAGGCGTTTTACCGCGAGGAGTGCAAGTGCCACGCCATAAACCCCAACAACACCTTTTCAAAGCAGCTGCTTGCCGGGGCGACCATCTTTGACTTTGACAATGGATACTTGGGTGGGCGTGGTATTGTGCCCATCGTATCAACGCTTCAGCGGCTTCCTGTTGTGGAGTTGTCTATGCGAAGCTGCGAAGTGACGACAGATGACATTGCGTTGATTTGTAAAACCTTTGCGTCGCATGAAACGCTTCGGAAGATCGACTTGCGCGGTATCTCCTTGACAGTAGCCAGTGCGCGCAAACTACTCGCCCTCGTGGTGCAGAACTCGCATGTTACGCAGATTTTGTTAGATGAGGAAACGCCAAAGTACCTCTACATTCAGAGGCAGTGTTTCGCCAATGCTAACATGACGATATTGGCCTCTAGGTGCCTGGTGTGCAGCAAATCTGTCATTCACTCACCTGATCAGAAGGTAGAAAGTCGCCTGCTGCAGTCACTTGGTGATGAATTTCAGCATGTTGATGTCGCCACAGGTGGGGTGGCACTGGAAGTTTTTTTCAGCTGTTTATTGGCGTGCTGTGAAGCCAATGATGGCGTGCTGTTTCTCTGCTCCAGCGAATGTCGGATTCAACTCACAAACGACATCCTTATGTCGATGCGTGCAGTGGTGTGCGAGTGGTTCTGCGGTACCAAAGGGGCGTGGCCTAAGAATCCCATCCTACGCCGCTGCATCGTTAACACGCTCAAGAAACTGGCGGGACGGCCACCAGAGCAGCAGGGCCAGGTAGTAAGCGGCAGAATGGGTGGGCATAAGGCGAGTGGACCAAGTGACAGCGGCAGCGACAATAGCAGCAGCGACGACGACAGCAGCATAGGATGTGATGGCGTCTTGGAGGAGTGCACAATATGTGGCACACATGCAGTTTGTCTTCCAGATGGAGCGCACTTGGCAATGAGGCAGATATGCGAGGATATTGAGGGCGGATGTTCGCTGCGCCCGTCAGCACTGCTTCGTCTGGCGAAACTGATGATCGTGTACGCTGAAATGCATGTCTGCAACAAGAAGTGTGTGGTACACCTTGTCCGGTTTGGTATGTACGGCTATGGAGGTGTCCTACAGTCCCGTACTGTATGCGGTGCTCCGCACGTAACTTCGCTTGGACTCTCACTTATGGAGTTGCCAGACGAGGATTTCTCCGTCCTAAACTTCTCCATGGCGCATGTTGATGAACTCGAGGAGGAAGACACCTGTTGTGCGTTGACTGTGGCGAGTGCGATGTCGGATATTGATGGTGTGACTATCGACCCGTACATGATCTTCGCCACGGGCAGGCATCTCGCCAAGCTGCAGCCTGAGACGGTGGGCATGGAACTTCGCCACGCCTGTGACGCGGTGCAGGTGTTCGGCTGTTTGCCTGCCAGTATGGGACCGTTTGATCGGCGGAAGGAGAGACCACCGCGCAAAGCGTACGTGTCGTGGGAGGAGTGGGGCGATTTTGCGGATGTAAAAGATATCGTGCGTGTCGCCTTCTCACGGCGAAGAAATGGTTTTTATGTTGTTGATGGGCCGCACAATAGCATTTTTGACAACACACGGGCAGCCTTGTGGGCATTTCGCAAACAACGTCGGGCGGTGTTAGTCGTGATGAAATTCTGTCTCGACTGGATTGTGCTACCTGGTGGTGTGGTACCGAACGAAGCATCACTGAATCGCCCTTTTCTCACAACGTTCAAGATCGTCGGACAAGCGAACATTGACAACAGCTTTTATGTCATATGTCAAGGTAACTTCGGCTCACGTGTTGGAAATCATGGCTTCTTTTACATTCCGCGTGGCATCTTCAACTTGCACGTGTCGGGTAGCGCGTATATGTTTCTTGATAGTGGTATATACGCCGAATGTAAAGGAAGCAAGGCGAAGCTATACGCCGCTCAAATCCTGCCAAAGACTACAGTCGAGTTGGCCGAGAAAACAGCCTTGTTGCAGGAGCTGCATTACTACTGCAGAGAGGCGCTTAACTGGAGGACGCGACACCGTCTCGACGGTACCAAGATTGTATGTGATGCGTTCAATCATGTTCCACCGTCGCTCTTCTTTCTCTACCGCAGCTGTGATCGTCACATCACCGATGCCCAGTTGGAGCTCTTGGAGACGTTGTTGCGGATGTGTTTCAGTGACACCTCGCGTTCGATGCGGCTCTTCTATGTGAATGAAGTGTTGGGACCGAGGGCGGCAGAGTGGATTTCCGGCCTCGCCGAAAGCCTCGCACAGCTGCCGCCGTACAAGGCGCTGCTGCAGAGGGCCGCGGAGGTTGTGGCGCCATCGGACCTGGAGCGGAGTCAAGCACGGCTACAGTGGAAGTCTCTTGGGGTAGGGAAGACGCAGGTAATAAACCTGCCGCAACGCCCTAAAGGGGTGATGAACAAAAAGGCCTTGTCGCGGCGTCCTGTCAGGAAGATCGCGGATAAGGGAACGGGCAAAGAAACACGCGACACGTTTCGAACAAAGTTGGAACAGCGATGGTCCTCTGTGCGGGACGAAAATGATCTCCTCAAGACAGTTCGGCGTCGCAGTCAGAGCACAGGTACCTTGATCGGCATACCCTTGCTGCGGACAAGCGTCACAACGACACTCACCGCACGAGCAATGGCATTGGGGAGCGATACTGTACCTCCTTCTTTGGTAGGTCAGCCGTGGCATGCGGTCCGCCTGTGCAATGCGGACGGTTCATTGACGGAGTATACAATGTTTTTCATAAAGGACCATGTATGCTGCTTTAATCTTGCCAACCAAACCATCACGATGCCACTCCATTCCATGCATGAGAGCGCGAACGCGCTCGGTTATCCATTTCCCACTGGTTTCGACTGTGCGCTGAACTCACCGGTAAATCCACGGGTGGCATACTTTTTCTGTGGTGGGCAGTGGATTGAATGGGACACCTACATGCAGACCTGCACAGGTGGACCATTTAAACTCAAATTCCATAGGCAGTTTGAGGCACTACCGGAAGAATTTTGTCGTCGAATTGATGCTGCAGTGCCAGTTCCAAGCACTTCCTGTGTTTTATTCTTCTCGCAGCTCAACTACGTTGTCTTTGACATGGAGCAGCAGCGGCCTATCAGCAACGTGAGGCGTATTGGCGCACCGGAGTCACTTGAGGGGGATGTGCCGACCTTCGCCACCTCTCTGGCAAAGCTTTTTCCGTGCGGGCCGATGGCAACCTTGCTGATGCTGAGGGAAGAAAACAATATGAATGCGACTGATGACGAAGACCAAGAAATCAAAAATGGGACGATGAAGAGCATGAAACAGGCAGTCATGCTGATCGGTCGCGACGGGCATTTGGCTCTCGTTTGTGATTTCGCACCGTCGGCTGAAAAAACAAAAGCAGAACAGCTCCAGACGCTCCCCACGTCCCCTCTCGCCCGGCTCCCACTAGCTCTGCGACAGATGACAACCGCCGCCCTTCAAAATGTCTGCAAGAACGCACTGAGCGCAGAGTGCAACCGGTGCTGCATTGTCGTGAGTGGTACGCACCAAAGCAGTTCTGATGTTATTTCCATCAACAGCACATTCACCCAGCAATGCGAGAACGTGGACGCTCTCTTGTCTCTCACGCGGTGTGGTGCTGCCGAGACATTCATGCCACTTCTGCGTGATGAAGTTGTGTTTGCTCAAACACCGGAGAGCATACTTGGTAGCTCTTCACAGATAGTTGAGGTGGATTACGGTGTCGGCTGCCCGGTTTCTTTTGGTGTGGTCATAGTGGTATTGGATACAACATGCATTGACCCCCGTATTCTCTGTCTCGCACCGATAGAAGCTGTGGTTGAGAGCAGCGACGACGGCGTCACCTACATTCAGCACACGCGCTTCATCGCCACACCGTATGTAACTGCCGTGTGCTGGGGTGAAGTACATGTTGCGCGATTTTGGCGGGTACGTTTCTTGACCCGTGTTCCCGTTGGTACCGGCGTGGTACGACTCCTTTGGTATGAAGTGGCACGTGCTCTCGGCACTGAGCTGCTGGATCCTACTACTATCCTCGTCCCACACGCGTCGGCTGCGGTACAAATTACGGCGCCCAACGTTTTCTGTGCACCGAAAGATCTGCTGAACTCCCTTGAGCCTGGAGCTGTGTTCTCGTCGCCTCCGCGGAGTGGCTGGTTTAAGAAGCACTGTATTTTGCCTCTGTTGCCGGATGGAGCATTCTGTCTGATGTTCTGCGGGTCCAGCTTTGTGGAGCTAGACTGCGAGCGGAACATGGTTGTGTCTCAGCGCGCCGTTGCACTTGCCGACCATCCTGCATTTGCGAACCTGCCTCACCCCTTTTCAACTGGTTTTGACGCAGTTTTCTACCCTAACCTGCGTAACCCGAACACAGTGGCGCTCATTCACGGTGGGAATATTATCCTCTGGAACCTACAGCTGGGCACGGAAGAAAACAGCGCTGGGGGTAACTCGGTGTCGTTCTTTAAAGGAATGCCCTGGAGTATAGACGAGTTTGAGGATGTAGTGCAAATATGGGACCGCCCAGGTGAGGTTTTCGTGATACGAAGCCACCAGGTGGTGCACTGGAGCATCAACACATCAGAAATATTGAATGGGCCAATGCTTCTTAGAGATTGCCCACACCTCTACCACGAAGAGTTTGAAGGCAAATCCCTTCTTTGCGTGGTGTCTTTTCCTTTTGCGCCCAATCGGTTTTACGTCTTCTCAGAAAACTGTGTAGCCACCCATACAGTGGTAGACGGTGTAATTTCAGACTGTGTGAAACCAGTGCCTGTGCGCCAATTTGACCTGTTCAGCCCCGCCACATTGTACTTGTTATGGGGAATGAGGCGGTATGATTGCGTTATTCAGCTTGATTTTAAAGAAGAGCAACCACTTTTGAGTGGTATGATCATGCGTAGTTCGGAGCCTTGTGGTGATGAGTGGCTCCTAGAATACAGCGACGATGGATTAGAATGGAGTGTTGTCGGTCGTCACCGGCAGTCATCTGGACGCAGTCGTACAATGTGGGGCTTGGCAAGTGTGGATCATCAGTCTCATCGGCTCTGGCGTCTGACAGCAGACGCGTCCAAGAAATATGGCGGCGAAGAAGAGCAGATGGTGCTTTACACGAATCTTTTGTTACTTACACTGCCTTCAGCCCCGTACAGAGTATCACCCCAGAGAGTTGCTTTGTCTGGTACTCTAAATGGACCTGTCTCGGCCCTCTTCCAGGAGAAGGCAACAGTGGCTTTTGAAAATTCTGTAGATGCCGCAAATACGGGTATTCCACAGACAAATCACGTCACTTTGGATTACGGTGACGTGAATCCGCCCAACATCATGGCGTTTGCATGTCAATGCACAGGGGACCGAGTCAACGCTACATGGAGAGTGTGGTGCAGTGATGATGGGGAGCAGTGGGAAAACTGTGGCATATGGCGTAGTCGGTTTCGTTATTTCAAAACCTCATGGAGGCCTCGTGGACCTCGTCAGTACTGGCGCATTGAACTGCAGTCGTGGGAATCAAGCACATTGTATGAAAACTTTCGCCTCTTTGAGTACACTGGGCCCTCACTCCTCTTGGAAAACTCAACACCTCTTGGTGAGGGGTGGGACCCCTCTATGATGTGGGAAAAGACGTCAGAGGGATGCAAATTTTCGCCTATGATGTTCTCGGCACAAGTGGGAAGTGCAATCGTGTTAGATAACAAGCAGAATATAACTCATGTTGTTGGCGTACGCATGGTAAGCCATGGGCAACAGGTCACTTCTACCAAGTTTGCCGTTGAGTTCAGTTCCAACGCCGTGGACTGGCGGGCTATCGATGCGTCACTGCTGCTGCGTGGCGGCTCCGGCCAAGCTGTCTGGGAGGGGGTTGAATACTACCGCTATTTGCGCTTGCGTATTGTTCAGCATACAGGACCCTCGTCCCTCATGCTTCGGGATATTTGCTTTGAAGCCTCAAAACCATCGCTTTATCATGCCGTGGAGTCAGCTAATGCCGCACCGAAGCCACCCAGTTGTGAATTGAACCTTTCTGGGGAACTCAAAGAAATAGTTGCTGTGCAGGCGTTTCTGCCGCCTAGCTCCATCTATGCAGTGGAGCGACTTTCACCTGATGGTTCCACATGGGAGGAGCTAGCGAAAATAGAGAACAACGACATAATGAACTCCAAGATGGTGCGTCAGGGTTGGCCACCACAAGGGGGGTCCTCCAACTGGCGTCTGAGTCCCGCAGCTCTGGGTATTTCTTCCCTTGATTCTGAAGCCAACGGGGGTTCTATTGTGGCGGTATCGCCGCCTCTGGGTCGTGATGCATTTGTTCGATGGTACGCATTCACCGGCAAGACGATTGTGAAGTCGAACTTTGTCGAGAATTCAAATGCGCAGGTCACCACAAACGGATTTGTCGAGGTGCAGGCTGCTAAACGTCTCATGGAGAACAAGTCAGAGACCGTGGTGTTGCGCTCCGCTGATTTTGTAACACTCGCTACTGTTACATGGTTCTTTGACAATGGCGTAATGCCACGCTTTCACCAGGTGTCCCTGGAAGGTCGCACAGCTACAAACCCCAACTCTCCCCCACCAACACCGCCACCTCCACCACCCCCACCGCAGCTAGATGCATCCTCCAAAACTAGCTCATCAAACAGAAAGACGGCGGTGCGTCAAAAGGTAAACGTCCCGGAGGTGGAAGAAGTAAAAGTTGAGGAAGTAAAAGAGGACATGATCATTGTAGTGGAGACAAGTGGAAATGGAATTGACTACTTGCCGATTGCGGAGCGTCCCTTCTCTCAGCTTGGCAACTCTCTATCATGGCAAGTGAGCATGGCCGCCTCGTACTGGCAAATCCGTTTCAAAGGGATCCCCAAGAAAGACTATCTTGAGTTGCGGGAGGTATCTTGGTTTGTGGAAAGAGGTGTGACAGCTGTGCTGGCGCCACAAGCATCATGTATGCTCAGCAACCCTATGTACGAAGCGTGGCAAAGCGCGGCTTTCAATGATGAAAAGGAATTTTGTCAGATGTGCCGAAAAGGTTATGATCAGGCAAAAAGTGTCGCTAGTGGTCTTCGTGAACCAGGCGATATTGAAAGAATCGGTCGTGTGGCGCAGAAAATCATCAGTTTCAAAGCGGAATACGTAGGCTTTGTTGCCAAGACGTCAAAAGAGGCTACAAAGGATCAGAATCCACCGGAGGATAAATTCATCTCTATTGGTAGACCTCTGAGCAATGATCTGATGTACCAGCTCTACAGGGCAGCCAAACGATATGAATGCAATGTGGATGAGCTTAACAGTTTGATAGCTCATCCTATGTTGTTTGGTCGCGACTATGCACGGGGAAAGGACGATCTCTCGTGGTTTTACCCGAAGTTTGAGCAGAGTGGCACACTGGTGGAAAGCTTCTATGGATTCCACAATGTTCGCGCTTCCCTTTGTATCTTGTGGAGTCTATCATTGCAACTACAATGGAATACAGACCTCTTGAAAGATCCTTCCATGACGCCACTGAGCCCGCATCTTGCCTCGGTTCTCGTCACGGTGAATATTAATCAGAGTAACTGGATTTCAGCGGAGCACTTTCCCGGTCTTCCACTTCTGTACCACGCTGGGTTTACAGAGCGTCCGGTGGTGATTGTTTTCGTCCTTAATCCGATGGCCTTCACATCCAAATACAACTTGACCATCCCAGGCATGAACCCGTTCCCCGCCAAATACCCGTTTAATCTGCAGCCAGGGGTGAACTTTATACAATATATAGCACTGGCAACCTGCCCGTGTCCTGTTTTCGATCGGCTTCAATTGCTGTATTCAAAGGAATTCCTTGCGAAGTATGAAACAGAGGTTGTGTTTTCGGCGCCAAGTATGAATAGCGATACCGCCACTGTTCGCTTCACCTTGCCTGGGGATGGCATTAACCTTGCCGTACAAGGTCTATGTATTGGCAGCATCGAATTTGAAGTTCAATTGAAGATGGAGGACGGCGAAGAAAAATACGCCGCCGCGACGACAGTGACGCAACGCCAGTTTGAAAATCCACACAAAATATCATTTGTCACGCACGATACTGTATTTGTCGAGGAGTCATCTGCGGAACCGCCCATGCAACTAAGTCTTTCAGGTAGTATCAGCAATGATGAGGACGTAATCGCAATTTGTGGGTTTTCGCCCAGCGCCCGTTTCCCTACAAGGTACCGTTCCTCAAATGACTTCGTTACCGACGTTAGAATTTATTTTTCCCTTGTGGCTGGGGAGCTTCCGCAATCCTTTGTGGAGCCCTCCTTTACATTGGAAGGCGTCTTAACGACACCTTCAAATGGCAACTACACATGCCGCTTTAATTGTGCTACTCTGCTTCGTAGCTATGAATCTATGTCTGTACATGTTGTGGGGCTGCAGTTGGCAAAGCTCGTCCAACTCGGGGACCATCTTGTCGACGCCCCTCCACGAAAAGAAGGTATGGGGTGGCTCCAGACTGTCCCTATATTTATCTCCGCAGAGCTGCAAACGAATTTCCCCATGGTGGAATTTTTTGGTCGAGGTGCCGTTCAGATCGCAGGTGTTTGGGGAGATGCCTCCATCAGTGTCTCGGCGAAGGGGACCGGCATATCCGCCACGTTTAAGAGCGTTCACCTTGGTGGTGTTTGCTTGCAAGGAAAGTCTGGTGAAGAGGGCATTGTGATGAGTATCACAACGCCCGTGGGCGCCTCCCCGGTTTTGCGGATTGACGGATACAGTTGCCTTCTCGCACCACGACCGTACCCGATGAAAGTGGAAATTTCCCATGCAGGAGTGATGTGCGTCTCCACCGGTGTATTGTACGACCTCTGTATTGAGGAGGACTCGCATTTTCCGTCTGGTGTGTACGCGCAGGTGACGATGTCGGCGCAAATCATTATGGACTGTCTTACGGAAATGCTGCAAGAGACCCCATTGATCGTTACGCTCATGGCTAAAGGAATTCCCTTCTCGCTTGATGTAGAGGAAGTTCTAGTGGAGGAGTGTATGTTGGAGCGACAGCTCATCTTCCTCACAGTGCGTGGTGTGATGCTTGGCTGTCGCTTTGACGTTATGGTGTCGGTGGAGCACCCGGACAACACCTTGCAGGAGGCGCGCCGCATCTGTCAGGGCCTCCTTCCCCGCATCATTGAGCAGTGCGATGAGTCTCTCTGGGCTTCGTACGACATGTTTGTCGGCTACATGCTGCGCCTACCTCCACCCGAGCGTTCGGAGGGTGAAGAAGAAGCAAAGGAAAACGAAGAAGCAGCAACAGCAATGGAAGACGGCGAGGTGAGCCCTGCGATGGCGAGGCACCTTGTGAAAGAACTGAATGGAAGGTTTATTGGTCACTGGATGTCTCGCGAATGCGAACTGCTGGATGAAACAATTCAGGACGACTTCGATGCCGCGGGAGAGTCTGGAAGCCCGAGGGGCTTGGATCACAGTTGAGAAGGATGGAGGGTGAGAAATCGGTGCTACATCCAATGATGTAATCTGCCTCTGTCTGCATCTGCAGAAGGGTTGGCATGTACAGAGAGTAACAAAGGCACGTGCAACCAAAAAAAAAACACGTAACGAAGCGCGTGGCAAGAAGGAGAAACGCGTCCAGAGAGTGCGCCACTTTTTTTTGTCGTCGTTGTTGTTGTTTTTGTTGTCGTTGTGGGAGGGGATGGAGTGCGCCACGTGACAGCTCGTATTTTCATTTCTTCTTGCGTTTCTAAGAGACTCCGAGAGAAGAACTGGTAGTGGTTGAAGGGGACACCCAACGAAAGAACAGAAAGACGAGGGCCCGTGAAGCTTGCAAATGGAGTCGTCTGTTGCATCGCTGATGGACCACCTTAATGGGGTGGAGACGCGCCGTCGTGTGGTGATGATGAAGCGCAAAGAGGCAGAGACGAGACTCGCCTTTGCAACAGAAGAACAGCAGCAACTCGAGCAGCAGAGCGCGTTGAACGAGGCGCGCGAGGCCGAGCTCAAGAAGGAGCTGGACCACCTGCTGGAGGAGCAGCGACAGGTGCAGCTGCAGCTCATGTCCGGCACGGACACGGTGCGCCACAGTGAAGTGGAGGAGGCGCTGCTCATCGAGCACGTGCGGGCGCAGGCAAGCAAAGCGGAGGCCCTTGTCGCGGCATGGCGCGGTCACGCGCAGGAGTTGGATGAGGTGCACCAGGCATGGGGGAATGATGATGCGGCAGCCCCGCTTCAGCAGCGCATTGCGCATCTCGACAGCGAAGCGGCGCGTCTGTGCGGGGAGAAGGAGCAACGCGAGCGCGCCATCACGGCAGCGTTGGAGGCGCACGCGTTGCGCGCTGCAGGTGTTGCAGCCGATCCCGGGCAGTCAACGCCGACGGGCGATGGCGTTGCGGCAATCCAGCTGGGAGAGCAGCTGGGGCTCCAGCAGCGTGAGTTGGCAGAGCTGCAGGCGCAACACGCCCGGCAGCTCGCGGCGCTCGAACGCGAGGTCGCGGACCTCACGAGCCGCTCGGTGGAGTTGGCGCAGTGGCTCACCGACACTGTCGGCTCACGTGACCAAGTACTCATGAACATTCAGCTGCTGCAGTTGTGTTTGAGCAGTGGCATATGCGCGGCGTGCCGCCAATCGTCGTGAGTGGTCGGTCATTTCGTCACACAAGTGAGGTATTCTTTGCCTTTGTTTTGTTTTGTTGGCTTTTGTTTTTCTCATCTCCCTTTCTCAGATGTCCTGTACACCGGCTTGATGGCGCCGATGGCTCTCCACGCGAAACACAAATCGTTGCCGCAGGGAACTGTTATTACTTTTTTAAATGATGTTGAGTGGTCTGCTCCTACCATGCTACTTCAGCATACTGTTACCCTTATATATATATATAAGTATTATTGGCTTCTCTCTTTCCTATTTCCATTCTCTCTGCATTCTTTGGTGGTTGTCGTAATACCGCGAGAGAACACACGCAGACGTCCTTCTCTGGGAATGCTGAAGAGCCTCCGGAACCGAGTAAAGCGCGACAACGAACCGCGTGTGCTGATAGTGGGCCTCGACAACGCCGGCAAGACGACACTGCTCAACACGCTGGGTGAGGCCGATGAGCCGGTGGAGCGGTGCGCGCCGGCCGCACCGGATGGGCCGACGCAAGGCTTCAACATCAAGACGCTCTCGCGCAATGGGAAACGGGCAAAGTTGTGCGACCTCGGCGGGCAGCGGGCGCTGCGCGAGTACTGGCAGGACTACTACAACAACACGGACTGCATTATGTACGTTGTAGACTCCTCCGACCACCGCCGCCTCGAAGAGTCACATGCAGCCTTTGTCGATGTGCTGAATGGCGTCCCCAACGTGCCAGTGTTGGTATTTGCGAACAAGCAGGACCTCGCAACGGCGAAGGATGCGCAGGTTGTCGCGGAGTCCCTTCACCTGCAGGAGTTCCGTGATCGCAAGTGGCATATTCAGGGATGCAGCGCTAAGTCTGGTGCGGGTCTTGAGGAGGGTGTCGCGTGGATCTTTAGTTCGTGTACCTCCTGAAAGGTGAACTAAGTTGTAAAGAGTGTAGATGCAATGCGCTTCAATCTTGTTTTATTTATATTTTCCTACGTCACACACATGGCACCCATGAAAACATGCAGGAGTGAGAAGAAATATGATTAAGAACAAAAAGAAAGACAAAAATCCGTTGATAGATTCTGGGAGACGACGCCCCGATATATATATATGTGTGTGTGTGTGTGTGCGTGTGTGTGTGTGTGTGTGCGTGCGTGTGTGCGTGTGTGTGTGTGGTGCAACAGCAGGTCCTATAGACAAGAACAGTGGCGTGAGGGAATGAGGTGGGGGTGCGACTGCGATGGAGGGAGGCTTCCTGGCAAGAAGGCTCTATCACCCATTCTTCTGTGCGTTTACATATTTATCTCTCGTGTAGGCTGGCGGATGGTACTTATCTTTCTCACATTTGGCCTCGTGTCGGCAGTATTTCTCTGTTTGTGTGTCTTGGGTAACTGCGGTTGTCTCTATTCAATATCTGCCTTACTCTTGCCGTTGTGCTGTGTTGTAGCATAACATCATATATTTGGGGAGTTGAAAAAAGAGGTATGAGTTCCTCTCTCTTTTTCGTTGCTGTTGCTGTGCTGTTAGTTTGTGCGGAGAGTGCTTGTGGGAAAGTTGGGTTAGAATGACAGGCGGCCCAGTCACAAAAATCGAAGAGCCGCCCGGCATCACGTGTGGGTTATGTTTTAATGTTCTCAGCAAGCCTTCCACATTTGAATGTCAGCACAGTTACTGTACGGACTGCGTGCGGGCCAAGATGGAATCGCAGAACAGTAACGGCTTCGTGTGTCCTCTCTGCAACGTTCTGCACGCCGGGGTCACGGTACGAAACTTGCAGAACTACGCCGACGCAGTCCGTGCCAACCACGTGAAGATGATGGCGGACGGCGCCGATGGAAAGCTGATGTGTCAATGGTGTGAGGATATTCCTGCGGTGATGCAGTGTAACGAGTGCATGTCTGTCTACTGCACGGATTGCAACGCGGCCGTACACAAGAGCGCTGCGAAGCGTGGACACATGACGGGGAAGATCGGGGACCCGCAGACGCTGCGTGGAATACAGAAGAGGTGCAACATCCGCGGTCATGAGGAATACCGTGCAGAGTTTTACTGTGTTCAGTGTGAAGAGATGTGCTGCGCGTACTGCCTGCAGGTGGGGCCCCACAAGAGCCATGAGAATATTGGCATCTCACAAGCAGCAGCTGAAATTCGGCAGCGAATGTCGAGGGATGTGGCTGTGATTACGCAAACAAAGGCACGTCTTGAGAGCCAAGCCAGTGAACTCAATCGTGTGACAACGCAGTACTTCAATTCCTATGATGACATTGAAAACATTATTACGGAGCGTTTCAATTACTTTAAGCAGCAACTGATGCAGCGTGAGGTAGAGGTGCGCAGGAAGCTTGCGACCCTGCGTGAGTCTGGTGATGCCTCGCTCACATCTTCGCGTAAGCTATACTTGGTGAAACTCAATTCTTTAAACGAGGCCATGCTACGTTTTCAACGCGTGCAGCACGGTGGCACGGACTATGACGTGCTTGAAAGCCGCTCCGTCATGTACAGCCACCTCAAGACCGAGGTACCCGCTGTGATGGGGAGCGGATTTAAACTCTCCGACCTCGGCGACATGGTCATCACGGGTCTTGAGCTTGCGTTAGACATGCAGACCCTGCACAGCGCGGAGCCGCCGAAGAACGGTGCGGCGCCGCCGATGCTGCTCAATGAACTGCCCCCCACCGGCCTGTCAACACGCCAGCCAAGCGAAGCGAAGAACGGTAACCGGCGCCCCTCCGTTTCGCAGCCAGAGGCGCCGCTACGCCTTACCTTCCCTGTAGATGACGACGTGGAGGCCATCGTGAAGGAAGATGGTGTGCTGTTGCGCTGCGTCGCACGTGGTGGAAATGGCAAGACACAGATCGGTGTCCGTAGCAAAGAGGTCATGGAGACCGTCGTGCGGTTCTTCCCAGAGGATGGTGGCTTCGTCACGTGGCGCATACGACTAGAGGATATTTCAGAGTCCTTCGTGGGTGTTGTAGAAAAAACCGACTTGCCGGCGATTCCAGAGGGATTCTACTGGAGACCCACAAGAAGTGGCACCGTCGATGGGCAGATTGGTCGCCCGACCCAGCTCATTCAACGGCTTCCAGTGTGTCGCAACGGCGATGTGATAAGTTTCACATACGACGTACAGAAGGAGTTGTTGCGTGTCAGTGTGAATGGAGGCGATCGAATTGTCGTTGTCACCAATTTGCACCCCCGCATCGCCGCGTGTTTTATTTTTTACCCCGGCGAAGCGTTGACAGTCCTGTTCTGATGTTTCGGGTAGCCAACTTTTTTGTATCGAGGGGGTAGAAAAGAAGTTTGAGTTTGTGTACTGGCTGTGTTACTCATTTTGCATTTGGCGTGGCGGAAGAGTCATGAACCGGCTTTTTTTTTGTTTTTGTTTTTTTGTTTCTGGTGAGGGGGCGCAGGGGCTGCTTATCGCATGAATTGTATACAAACACGAGAGAACCACTTTGGGCCTTCCCTCATCATTTGGCCCCTGATTGTGGAACGAGGAAGGGGGAAAGGAAGAGGAAAAGAAGGGTAGTGGAGAAGGGAAAAAAGAATTGTGAGTACGTGTGCCACACATTACTGTTGCCTTGGTGACAGTTTCCGAGACCTTTTGTTTTGTTGTTGTTGTACGGGGCCATTAGCTGTTGTGCCGGTGAGTCTTGTGTGTATCTCTCTACGCGCATGAAATCAATGAAGTAACCCGCTCTCAACTGCTGCGGGAACAGGACTGGCATGACGCGCTGAACGTGAACTTGTATCGTATGGTGCTCTTACGCGTGTGTGCATACATGGGAATGTACGCGTGGCTCTGTGTTTGTCAGGCTCCACCGAATTGTATTTCCTTATTTTTTGCTTCTTTTATTGGGCCTTACTTTAAGAATCTCTAGCCATGACGCTTTCTCGATTCCTGGATCAACGGCTCCAAGGAAAGCGCCCTTCTGAGGTTGTCTACATCTCTATTGGGGCTATTCTGGCGGCGAAGGTGCTGCTCAGCATTCTTCAGGATGGGCAACTCGTACAACGTTTTAAACTTTTCAAGTGGAGCATTGTCCGTGCCGTTGCTGCACCTATCATAAACCGTGAGGTGAAAAAGGCAGGCGAATCGATTAAAATGCCATCAAAAGACGGTGAGTTCAAGGCGAAAATATTGCCTAATAGAAGTATGTCGGATGAAGAAGTCCTCCGTCTCATGGAAACAATTCACAAAGACCTCGACCAGCCTTATGAGAAGGGTGGCCTCAGTGGGGCGGTGTACCACGGGGGTGCCTCGCACACACAGTTTATCAATCGTGTCATGGAAATATTCCAGTGGAGCAATCCGCTTCACACAGACGTTTTTGGTGCAACCCGCAAGATGGAAGCTGAGGTGGTGTCAATGGTGGTGCATATGTTTAATGGTCACCTGCTTCCAGATGCCTGTGGAACTGTGACGTCGGGCGGCACGGAGAGCATCGTGATGGCACTGAAAGCGTACCGCAGTTGGGGACGTGCCACGCGAGGTATTCAGCGTCCCTCAATTGTCCTTGGCATTACTGCTCACCCCGCCTTCGACAAGGGCGCAGAGTATTTTGGTATTGATTTGATCAAGGTATCAGTGGATCCCGTGACAATGCGGCTAAACGCGAAGGAAGTCGAGAAATACATCCGCTACGATACCGTTGCTATTGTTGGATCTGCGCCAACATTTCCTCATGGTGTTATTGATGATATCGTGGAACTATCGGAGGTTGCGTACCGCCGCAATATTGGTCTCCACGTGGACTGCTGCCTCGGCGGTTTCATCGTCCCCTTCATGGAGAAGGCCGGATTCCCCGTCCCTGTTGTGGACTTCCGACTGCCGGGCGTCACGTCCATCAGCTGTGACACGCACAAGTACGGTTACGCACCCAAGGGCACCTCCACAGTTCTGTATCGGACAAAAGAGCTGCGTTCCCACCAGTTTTTTTGCGTTGCAGAGTGGCCTGGTGGTATCTACTGTTCCCCTGCTCTGAGTGGATCCAAGCCTGGCAACGTCATTGCCGGTGCGTGGGCCGCTATGCTCCGCATGGGCGAAGAAGGCTACGTCGAGAACTGCCGTAGAATTGTGGAAACTCGGATCAAAATGACGACTGCACTCAGTCAGTTGTCGTATATACGCATCCTTGGTGATCCAACCGCCTCTGTCTTTGCTTTTTGTACTTCTCCTATCGACACCTTTGTTCTTGGTGAACGCTTAAGCGAGCGTGGGTGGATGCTTAACCGTCTGCAGTTTCCCTCTGGCCTTCAGTTCTCTGTTACGCTGCTGCAAACTCCGAGGGGTGTGGCGGAACGGTTCATTGATGATGTGAAGACCGTCTGCGAAGAGATGATGGCAAGGTTTGAAGAAGCGGAAAAAGAAGGCAAGAACCCTGCGAATAGAGATGCCGGGGCAACTCTCTACGGTTCACAGCAGCGAGTACATGACCGAAGTATCGTGAAGGATATGCTTCGAGAATTTTTGAATCAGTATTACAGCACTGAGCACTGACAAAAAAGTTGATAGCCCCCTGTGGGTCTTCCGCCTATGTGAAATGTAGATTAGTTTTCTTTTGTGTAGGTTTTTCAGGTGTGGACTGGCGGAGGAAGAAATAGAGAATCAAATGCGTGATTTCTTTTTGCTTGGATATTAGCAATAAGCAACACCAGTTGTGTCTCTTGATTGGCGTATGCTAAAAGGCCTTAGGGAGAAGGGAGGGGGAAGGCGTGGCTCAGCGTGGGCGTAGTCCTTGTTGCAATTGGGCTATATGCTGTTGTTGTTTTTTCTGCTGGATTCGTTGTGCAGAAGTTGCCACTGTGGCGTGCAGTTTTTGTTCTTGATTTTCTTTGCTTGATTGCTTTCTGCCGCTTCCTCGCTCCCCACTCCCGCATACTCCCATTTTTTTCTCCATCCATTTTTTCTGCTCTCTCCGTGTGTGTGTGTGTGTGTGTGTGATTTACGTGAGGCCATACCGGAAGAAGGGTGGAACGCATCGTGCCGGCCTCGACCGGAATGGCATTTGAGTTCCGGTTACGGCATCCTCCGTGCGACATTTCATTCCTTGCCGTTGTCGATGCCCCGGTTCTTTACAATGCCGGCGGCGCCGCGAACGATGCTGTCAAGGAGGCGACCATCCGTCAGATTGGATGGCACCCGCTGCACCTGCCAGAGGAATGGTTTTTCTCCGAGAAATCCCGTGCGATGACGGAGCGGGTGTGCTGCACGATGCAGTGCACCATCCAGTATCTCGCGCACCAGCAGAAGAAACTAGAGGCGGAGGCGGCGAAGACGCAGCGCAGGTTGGAGGAGATGCAAGAGGAACGGGATGAGGCCTTTGAGGAACTCATCGAGCTACGGGAGGTGGTTGCGCTAATGAAGCAGCGCTACGGGGAGGGAAGTCGGAGAGGGCCAACAGCAGCTCCAGCGGGATCGCTCTCTCAGGTTGGGAGGTCTGGGCATTCCTTCACTTGCTCCCTCTGCGGTAACTGTTATCCATCATCATCATCGTTACAGTCACATGTGCTGAAGCGTCATCACAGAGGGCAGCGTTATGCCACCATGGCTGCGGCTTCAGTGGCAATTCGAAAACAGGTAATAGGGGCCGTTGACCCGCCAAGAGACGCACTCATCGAGGAGCTTACGTCTTTGAGATCAGATGTAGCGTTTCTTCGTGGGGCCGTAGCAGCGGAGTGCGAAAAGCGGCGGGAAGAGGCGCAGTCGTCGTTTTTCTCTCCCATTAATGTCGTGGCACTGCCGGCCCACCATCTGTCAGCTTCACCCGCCCCTATCCAGCCTGACGGTGTTCTTGCGTCATCGGAACGGCAGCAGCAACAGCAACAACAACAACAACAGCTAATCAATGCGTTACAGGACGAGTTGCAGTTCACGAAGTCCCGCCTGGCCCACATGGGGGAGGCACTGCGTCACAAGGAGGAAGTTAAACGTGGTGGGCGTGAGAAACAGGCCAGTATCTCTGCGAACGAGCAAGTGGAGGCGTCACCTTTATTGAATACCACAATAACTTCTGCCGAGAGTAAGTCTTGTCACCCTGATGACGGTCCTGCTGCTGTGTCGGCCAACTCACTTGTTTTTTACTCTGGTCGCTGCGGTGCGCCAGTACAGGAAGTGTCCAACACATCTCCCCAGCGAAGGGAAGCGGCACTGCCTGAACGCCAAGACGAGAAGGCATCTGCTCTTCATGCGGTGAGCTCGGCGCACTGCCTGAACTCCCCTGCACCGTCACAGCACCCTCTGCTGTTGTCTCTCGCACAAAAGGACTCAACACAATCACAGCTGCTTGCCGCGCTCGAGCCGGAGCGTTCGGAATCGCCAGGAAACTACAGTTGTATCGCAACCACTGTGGAGAAAAAGAAACTGATTGCTGATGCAGCGGATTCCACGAGTATGCCAGTTGGTATAAATGTGGGAGCACATTCGCAGGAATGGAGTGATGTCCAGCTGAAGAGCCCGGCTTACGTGGATTTCGGTAGCCTCACGGGCAGCAACGCCCTTCGAGTCGGCGAACTTGCGTCCGCGAGCCGGCCCTCACTCGCAAGGAACATATCGGATGAAGCTGCAAGACGGGCAATATCCGACGCGAGCCAAACACCTAACAGGAAGGATGCCAACTTGGGCTCTGTGCGGAGTCTTGAGCCGGCATCCTGGTGTTCCTCCTCATCCTCATCTTCCTCCTCTTCCTGCGGTTCCTCCCCCCTCGGTGGAGGCTCGGTTAGCTATGGATCTCCGCCCAGTTTTTTGGGCCGTTCTCCGCAGCAACACCAACTCCAGGAGCGCCCTCCAATGGAGCAAGCACATGCCAAACAGGCCACAGCGTCGAGCGCCACTAGCAGCTTGCATATAGGCTGTGAAGATGAGAGGGAAGCAGCGGCAAAGTCCCGTGTGGCGGGAGCCCAATCAAAGGTAGCGGAGGATGCTCACGCTGGAAAGGGCAAAAAGCGGAAGGGGCCTATATCGTTTATCTCAAAAATATTCGGGAAGCGCAAGAAGTGAGGATCATATAGAGAGCCATACCCATACATATATGACTTGTTGCCTGTGTGTTTGCAAGACGGCGGTGCGTGTCGGAAGGTTGAGACCCCTTGGTATACATCAAAGCTGCAACAATAGGTAGAGTTGTGTCCACTTGCTGTTGACTAATTCGTGTTTTTTTTTGCCATATTAATATTAACTTCCTTTTATTTTGTCTCTCTCTCTCTCTCTCTCGCTGACTCTCTTTTGTATTTTCACTCCGTGTAAAACAATAGTGAAGTCGAGTGCTTGGGTGGATGGAGTGAGCGCTTTGAGTCATGCATGAGGCGAGTCTTGTGAGCTCCCAGTCCTCTGTTGGCCTCGTGTGACCAGCGGAACTTGCAATTACAGGCCTGTTGTCCCATTCTGTCAACTGAGTTCTGTTACCGGTATCCGCAAGATCGTCACGGAGCTTGTCTCTGCCAGAGCTACAGATGATTATTATTTTTCTCCGTCTCCCATGTGATTAAGCTCATGCTCTGTAGCATTACTGTTGAACCCGTCCAACTTCCTTTCGTCTCTCTCTCTCTCTCTCTCGCACACGCAAAGTGTGATCATTGTCTCTCTGTGTGTTTTGTTTGCGCACCGCAGACTTCGTTCACACACGGAGAGTGAAAAACAAAAAAAAGTTGCTGCTGGGCGGTGTGTTGTTAGACATGACGTTGGCACGTGCACTTCGAGCATGGACGGCCCCCATCGCACAAGTGCGCCGCCCCCATGACGGCATCCGTGGCATTGTGGCGAAGCGGCGATTCTGTCGTGGCGACCTGCTGTTATCAGTGCCGCTTTCGTACTGCTACTTCCCCCACGCCTCGCGCGACCCGCGACGGATGCGGCGTTGGAACCGGGCAGCGCTATTTCCAGAGGCGCAGCAATGGCTGCGGCGTCTCTCGCCTGACGCGGAAGAGGAATGCGTCGCGCTTAGCGCTTCCGTCACGACAGAAGACGACAAGGTTCTCACGTTGAACCTCACGCCTGTAGAAGCTGCGTTGGCGGTATCAGTGGCGCTTCGGTACTTCTGGCTGGAGGTTGTCATGCTGAAAGACAGCAAGGGGATCGGCAGACCTCTGTTGGGGCCGTCGAGGTTTCGTCCTGCGGATTTGTACCTTCAGTCCTTACCACTGGAAAGGTTTCTCTCATATGGCTTGGAGGGGCCGTACATGTCAGCACTCGAGGATGAGGCGAATCTGCACTCCGCCATCGAGCAGGTTGCGTGGAACCTGCGGGACTGTGTGTTATCGCACGCACCACAGGAGGAGTACCGTTTCTACGACGCACACCCATCGGAGCTGGACGCTGCTCTCCTCGCGGCAATTTATGTCATACGCGCACGCTTGTTGCGTGTGACGGCAATTCACGTTGAGGAAAATGTGCCTGAAAGTCTGACGTCGGTGCTTGCGCCCATTGTGGACTTCTTGAATCACAGCGCGTGGGACTACACGTGCGTTGCGTGTGTGGCCTTGCGGAGGCGCGCTGTTGTGGTTCGTGCATTTCGCGACATTGACGTGGGCGAGGAACTCACGCTCGACTATCGTGGACCTATGGAGCAGCGTCAGGGCAACAGAGGGAAAACAGGTGGGGCTCTCGCCTTGGAGGAGGAAGACGATTGGTGGGAGTCGCGCTATCTTATCTCCGCTGATGAGGCGTGAGAAGTTTTTGTTCTTGCTGCCCTTTTTTTTTCATTGTTTTTCGTTGCACTTGCTGTGCCTGCACGCATCCATCCTGGCGGCGGGTGAAAGGGGGGGTGGGAGGCGCGAGTAAGA